TTCCTACTTGGAGGCTTTGGGGAGCTCATCCATGTCGAAATCGTAACTCAGGGCCGTTTTGGAATTTAGGAAATCAGTCGCTTTCACGTGTGCGGATATTGTGCGCTTTACACATGCGTCTGACAGAAAGTGTTCCGGGCTCACTTCACACATTGATCATGTCCTTGTCCTGCACCCTGTGCACAAAATGCAGGACGATAAATGCGGTGCATTTTGTGAGATTCATTTTCACACGATTGCAACTGGGAATGAAATTTGACGTATTTCTCTTCATGCATTGAAGGAAAGCCACTGATAACGAGATGAAAGGTTGACATCCAGTGCCACAATGCCAATCGCTATCATCGAAAAAAGCTTGCACCACATCAACCTCACAAATGATTCCCTAACAAAGTCATATCTTGATAAGCACATGTTGATTTTCTCCTGATAATAACGTTCAATCGCAGGAATAGTCTGACTTGCTGGCTAAAAGAATGCAGTGCAGTCGGCGGTACGATCCAAAACAACGCCAGAAGTTAAGATATTGAGAAGTCTGAGTCTCTCTGCCAACCCCATTCCTTCTTGGAAGCTGTTGCATCTCGGGACAGCTGATGACCTGTTTCTCTGCTCTTGAGTCCAACGTTAAGTTATTCTGTTCTCGGGTGGTCTACATGATCAAATCACTTAACGAGAACTGGATAACTGACTTTGAAAACGTGTAATGTCGCACGCCAAGTATTATTTTTCCTTATTTGATAAGCTCTTTCAAATCATGACAGGGGGTGGTATTACTGATTACAAGTCTGGTGAGCTGTTCCTTATAAAAGGGGATAGTAATAAACGTAGCTCAGGCACTAGCACACGGTCCTATTTCCACAGTTCTTGGCGCTTTGAATGTTGATGCTATGCGGGACTGATTGCCTCGTTTAATTTGCTTGCTAAAATATGGCCTTCAAAGTTGGGCACATACTGCAATGCATCTTGGCGTACGGCGGTCCGTAAGCCCATTGTCCCAAAGCTGCATTCATGTCAAAAATCCTAAGAAAGTGTATTCAAGCCAATAACGTTTCACTCGTGATTAGTCTACCCAGAGCACATGGGGCCTAAACAGTGATTGGACCGTGATTTGAGAAAACACACTAAGCTATCTCCGGTTACTTCCAGCTTACTTGGCGCCACCGCGTTAGGTGGTGCGATACGAACCTACATTGAGTTCTGTGCTTCTTTAGGCTTTCATATCATCTGAAAGACTACTAGAAATAACGAACAAACCCTTGCGTCAAGGTGACATAAGAATGCTGGATAAAACTTTGCTTTTTAAAGGAACAAGTTGCCGAAACCTTTCCAAAACACAAAATGGAGGGCCAGATTATAGAGTTATCAGAACTAAACACACAATAAACTCGGTAGGAGAAACGATAGACAACATAGTGTACTCGCGCAGCGGGAAGGCTACCAGAGGTTGCACCCTGTGGCTTTAAACTTCTGTTGTATCTGCCTAAACGCTCCGTACGACCATTATTCATTCAATCTGGCTGGTACCTGGCCTACACTCACACGGTCCTTCAAACGAAGATAAATTATCCATGAACCTGAATCAGCCAAAGTCTATGTTATTCTCCTCGCCTAGCCCATATCCAGCTGCCACAGACATGCGCATCCCCTCTCCGACTGAGGTAGCCTTGATGACCTCTACAGGGCTGTCCATAAACGGAAGTATACTGTTGCAGTGATTGTTTGCCACTGCAAAACTCAGTGTGATGGCACTCCCGCAGCTATTTTCTTCTGAATATCGGCTACAAACTCTCGCCCGCTCAGACCTGTACTTGTAACTACGAGCAAATTTTTCACCTGGCCCTAACCAACTCTAGTACGAATTATTCTAACCCGTTGGAACTTTCATCCGAATTTGACTAACTTGGTATTCTGCCGCAATTTTAATAGCCTCTACCACAAGTTCAATTCCATATACGGTGTTCGTTTGGTCCTATGCATTAGCACTATTTCCTCATTGAATCTATCCTTTTCAACCCACTTCCCTACAACAGCAGCACCAGTGGGTCTACTTTGTTTTAGGTTAAACCGTATTTTTAAGACTGAACCAGCCATCTTATTCCAACTCCAATTATTTCATCTCCATTTTTGCTTGTTGTGACCCTGGGAATTTAACCAACCTCTCAAAGTCAATCATAGCCAGCAATGGTCCCCACTTTTAGTTCGTGTCAGTCAGCTTCGTCTTCGAACTAGTCGGACGTCGTGTCCCTTGTCTTAATTTTTGGGTTCCCGCTACTACGATGACTTGTCATGTAATAAACATACCACCCATTGTGTTGTTATCCGCCGTGTACAAATTGTAACGACCCGATCACGCCTCAATCGGCCTGTTCCTCACAAGTTGGGAACTGAACCTATTATTAATGATGCTCACCGCCTATGACGCTGTCCTTTTTCCCAAAACGCCTCTGTGCCCACAACCCCTGCCAGTCATTATTTTTTTCTGACTGTGACCTTATGATCATGCCTGAATGCCACTCACTCACAAGCTGGAAATAAACATCATCATTATCATCGACCCCGACTTCACCGGTTCAAGACATTTTGGAAATGGTGGGCACCAACACAACAAGCAGCAGATGCAAGCCTAGGGGACGTGTATATTGAGTGAAACAAGTCCAATATGAAAAACGAGACGTGCGATAAAACCGTGGAGATACGTAAATTTCAGTAACGAAATTCGACCAAAGTGAGCCGAGAAAATAAGCAACTGCTGTCAAGGGGTGAATTTGGACGTTTCAGATAGAGAGCGGCCAGAGGCAATGCGCTTTGGGGAAGAAAGCCTTACCATGCGCAGAACCAGTTGGCCGTAGCGACAAACCATCGAACTTTTTTACGAAACAAATCGAAAGTGCCACGAAATGACGACATACCTGAATTCATGAGAGATTCAGGCAGACCGGAACAAAAAATTGCCTCAACAGTGGTTTGGTTGAAGTAAGCCGTTTGTTTGTTGCGTCTGCAAATAAAGGTACAGGGGAGATGCAGGACCCAGTCAGAAAAAGGAAGCTGGTTCACCAAACTCCTCTGAAACGACGACTTCTCAATCGGTCCCAAACATTCTCCAATTGATCGAAGAAGCTAGTTACGTTTGCGCAATTAGACTGAGTGTGGTCGAGCAGCGTCACGATTGCAAGGATACCTTAAGTTTCTGCGCGGATTTGCACCGGACTTACATTTATGGCACAGACAGAATCGCTTGCCATCGTGTTTTCAGTGAACATTGGACTTTCCAGGGTGATCAACACATAAGAACTTAGGTAGGCGCAGAATCACAGGCATTTGTTCGATCCGAAGACCCAAGTGAACGAGGGGCGGAGACCACTGGTGAGCATGTTCGACAGGTGCTTCTAAAGACCACCCTTGAAAATAGGCATTTATGAAGGGATACCAAAAGGGTGAGTTCAGGGGGCTATATTAAGTTGCCCGGAGTTTGCTGGCTGTGGACAGCTATGATTTAGTGGAAAACTAGTGGAAAACGCTTAAACGGAGTAAACCTGTGTTGGTTGATCAAGGAATTATAGCCTGTCTTAATTTATTAGTGATATAGCAACACAAAACAAACATGTGTAAAATAATCGGAGTGTGGAGCACGCTGATAAGGATTTCCAACAGCGACTGTCAGAGGAACTTGTCACACGAACTGAAATTGCATCGTCATGACCAAGCTGGTTGTGGCCATAGCCCCTTGTGCTCCCGACGAAACTTGTGTCCGACGAAACCAGCCGCGTTCCTGGACAGCGGCTTTCACTCACAGGTCTCTCACTCACCAAAAGCAGCAATGCCCTGGGGCTGCAAATATCACATGCGAGCGGCGCGCAAAGTACGTAGAGCTATCAACGCTTATCTCCGTAACAGACGAGAGCTGTAGCCATGTACTCCTCACTAAAGCCACAGCCTCTGAACTGGACTGAGTCAGATGTGCGAGGATAAGCAGCGAAGCCAATCTCCAGCTCCACCCCGTCAAAAGCGGCCTGTCTGCTTGTGGACACAACCGTCGCACAGGACCTCAACAACCAAACCCGTAAATGTGACTTTAGCCAACAGGAAAATCTCTCTTACATCCAGTTCGCCACACTGATTGCCGAAGGATCGGGCGTCCACACAAACACGAAAGAAAAGCGACTGCAACCAAACAAGCCACATAAGATTCGCCAGATAAGAAAACTGTTGGCTGGCTCCAAGGTGCAGTCCCCTGCGAAAACCAAAAGCATTACTTCTTGGTGGCGCCAATAAGTGCTCAGAGCCTCACGGAGATTTACGGTCAAACCGCGCCAAAACACCCGAGAATACAGGAAGGCGAAAGTTTGCCGCAAACCTTTGATCAACAGCAAATCTGGTCGCCAAAACGTCGGTGCTGAAAGAGCCACAAGCAACAGCGGCCAAAATTTTCGCCCACGGGAAAAAACAACGCCCCAAAAAGCTGAAAGTCCCAAACAAACCGGGCTCCCAAGGGGCGAAAAAACCTTGCAAACAAAAAGCGTCCCCAGAAACCACGAAGACGGGAAGCAGACAACGTCGCCCAAGAGGCCACTGTAGAGCCACAACTGTTAAATCTGCTAACCAACCTGATCACTTAACTTTCGGCTTCTCCCCCTCGGAGGCAACGGAGACAGTGTTGAAATGCCTGTGTGCAAACTGCCTCAACCTTCTTAACAAACTAGGCGTTGTTAAACATTCAGCCTACCTTGAACAACCGTCCATAATTGCACTCACAGAGACCTGGCTCACAACAGATGTCTCTGACGCGGAGATCTCGATAAACGGTTACTCTGTTTTTCGAGCTGACTGAAAACGAGGGAGGGCCGGTGAGGTGGCTCTGTACTTACATGCGGCCCGACCAATCCCCATTGTCCTCTCTGACAGCACTCCTGCACATTTTTGCGATGCGCTGTGGGTCCAAATCCCGCTGCGCGCGGAAGTTAGACATGTCCGAATGTTCACGTCTAAACAGACGAACGTGTTCACGCTTGAGCGATGTGATTGGTATGCCCGACCCATCGAAAAATGGCCCGGTAACTGTTCTGGTTATGATGATCGACTGATCCGCCAGTTAGGACTTTCCTGTCAGGTAGCTTCAGAGAGGCTTGAAATTTACTGGGCAACTTCTGTATTGTTTCGTCAGCCCGCAAGCCTGAAAATGGAAAAAAATAATTAGGAAAACGGGCTTTCGGGGCATTTCTTTCTAGGCAAGCGTTTTCGAACAAGCCTGAGTCGAATTCGCGCTGGAAATTCAGGAATACAATAACTTCGGGCCATTTATGGCTGTGGTGTGTTCTCACCGCCTGACGGAATAAAGGGGCTTGACCAGCTTATCCTCATCAGGCTGGAACCTCGCTCGCTGCCTTTCAGTCGTGGCTTCACGGTCCACCATAAGGCGACAAATCATGCTATTTGTGGAGTCACTTTGAGGTTAGAGTAAATTTGATCCACCTGTGACTGCTACGATCATTGCAGGCCCTTTTCAGGGGTCTGTGGCCGCATGTATATGACCATCTCTACCCCTCAGTAACAGAGATTGGTCAAGCGTTGAGTGAGGACTTCACTGCTGCGATGGAAGAATGCACAGCGTAGGTCATTCGGACTAAAACCTCTTAGGCCCTAGGGAGAATGTACGCAGTTGTAAATCTTTGAGGCTTTAGTGGGTCCCAAATTGAGCGTTCAACGTTCTAGTTTAGTCCCACCGCCCGATAGGTAGTGTCAGTTTCAGGTGACCACAAAAGTTTGTCATCAATTATCATGGTTGACAGTTGGAGGAGTCCTCGTTCATTGACGATGGCTCCGCAACTTTTTCCCCTTCTCTTGCTCGCCAGGAGTTTTCCAGGGCCGTTTATGTGGATCAACCGATAGAATTTTGGCCTCCTTTCATCCACTTTGTCTTCGGCGTCCCCATGTTTCATTTTCGGCCAATAGGGTAGGTTATCTTTGACATTTGATAGTTTATCCGGTTGAGACGTGTCCAGAGGAGGTGTAAAAATGCTCCACGATTCAACCAACGCATTGCCTTCCTTAATATTCAGAGCTTGACGGGACCACAAGGTGCCATGCAGTAAGTCGGACCACGGTTCTGTGAGAACTCGTGGTGGTCACTTTTAGGGACAAATCAGCATCCAATGGCGGAACATTTGGGAGATATTTCAGGAGACAATCCCGATAAGTTTTTTTAGCTGTGGGACCCGGCAGTCTCTCAGATGTTAGTAATTTGGGCGCACGCTGCGGGCCTTGAAAACAGAAGTGTGATGAGACCATCAATAAATGGTCGGCTGGAATCCACAAGTGTGTTCCAAAAGAAGTGGCATTCTTTTATGGATTTCAACCATCGGTAACTAATGACGACGTGATCGATTTCGGTCCGTGGCTGGCACGTTGTTGCGGGAAACCAAATGAATAGACGACTTTGTTTTTTCTCAAAGCGAGTAATGAATAAATAGAGCGTACAGGCGGCAAAGCTTAAACCGTTATTCACCACTGCCTGAACGCACCGATTCCAATACATATCGAGCAGTTTATTCAATCATAATAGGCCTGCCCACTTGTGCGTTCCAACCTGCGGTAACACAACAATATCTGATGTTGCGCCTGCGATAACAGTGCATTCGAAGCGCTATAAAGCCAGTGTTAGAGGATGCTAGGGATAAAGTCATTTGAGGTTTAGGAAAACACAACAATCTATCTACTTTCCGTTTGTGAGCGGACCTCCCGGAAGGTGCAAGCCGAATCCGATGGGGTCACCTATAAGATTCATTACCACGGTGACTTGAAAATTACATATTCCTGCGTAGCCTGCCGAAACAGCTTCTGGGCCACCGATGGTGCAAAGGTGATGGGGCAGTTTCCTTAAACGGTGTACTTGCATTATGATTTTTCGTTTTTGATGCACAATACATACAAACTTTGAGCAAGTCGGTGGTGAGAGTCATGACATGCTCGACCGACGCGCAGATGTTTATGCCTAAACCGAGACAATACGAACGGTATTGCTAGTTATAACGGAATGGAAGATGCTTGTTAATGTTGTGATGGAAGAAAGAAAGGAGTACGAAAGAGGGAAGGTTTCAGTAGTAGCCTGATTTCACTTACCCTTCCACATGTTGGTAAGGCGATTCGGTTGACGAAAGTGCGCGACGGCCATTGTGGCATGAGATTATCTGTAAGTGCACAGCTCGTGATTGTATGCAGGCCTGAATACTACCGACGCACACACATGGACAAGAGTGCGGTTGGTTTATCCTCCACTAAAGCTTTTGGCTGGAAACCTTGTCACATTGAAGCGGCTTTTGGCAAGATGTGCCAGTGTATTACTATTTTCAAACGACAACTCACCGCACATGTTCTCAGCCGCAACCCGGAAAGCCGGGTGATCGTGATGTTCACACCACTATCCTTCGACCCACTTGGTGTAACATGCTTAGACTGCCGCAAGGACACGCTGTATAGATGCATGTGGTTTCTCTTCCTCCCTCGTCTTTGCATGAGCTGTGAACAGCAGGCAAGGGTTCCATCCTTCACGGGCGAGATTCTCGTCGTTGAGATCCTTCAATAACGGCTGGTGATGGGCAACCCTAACCTTTGAATTCGCAATCCAAATCCAAGCTTAACGAGCATGGCACTTTTTATCCCGCAAGTAAGATGCTTTCAATCCTTTACGCTGAAGTTTTTATAAGAATCAAGGAGCTTTCCGACGAAGATGATGAACTTTTTGGAAAATAAATCCCAGAACTAGACTGAAGAGAGACTCATAAAATAAAAATGAGAGCCCGTATGTGCTGTACATTTTGCCAGTAACCTCGATAACAACTAGTACAAGCCACCTGGATGATTATATTAGCCAGCATATTTGCAACCTATGGGCACCACCTAGAGAAGTGCCGGAATATGTTTGGCTTTATCCAAGCCAAGCAAGTGGCATTCTGAATCCGCGCACACTACACCGTTGTGGACAAGAAGAGATAAAAGGTGTCTAAATATGTAAGAAGCCGAACTATAACCCATCCACGACGGCCTGGCATCTGAATCGTGGTTCAAGGGTGTGGTCGAGACGAAGATATATTTTGTTTTGGTCCAAGTCGCATCAGCTTCATGAAGAAATAAAAAGCTGTGGGATAACCAAAGCCATAAAATAAAAATGGCTAACTCGAAACCACAAAAAGTTCAATGCCATCCATCGGATGTTTGGCTGCGGTTTCAGCTCCGTAGGGAGGGTACACAGATACTTAAGTCGCATAGGGAGACGGTCAGTGACGCAAATGAACTGGCAAAGAAATTGCCAGAGTAGTTTAGAATAGCCTTTCAGGAAACTGCTCCCTAGCTGCCCGCTTAGGTTTGCATAACCGTCCCAGGAGCATATACGCAACAGGCGAACATTCCCATCATTGTCCATGCATACATTCCGGCTCTGATGAAATGAACTGACGACTGCTGAAGATGTCGCAAGGCCGCTGGCTATTCGCACAATGAGATTGATTTCTCGAAATCTACGGCATCTTCAGACTTGCCACCTCATAGTGTAGAATGTCTATGTATAAGGTACATGCTCCTGTATTATGGAAAATCCTTTACTATGGCGATTTGTTTAAGTGAACTAAATCTGCAGGCGAATAAACACCGCCGACTTTGAATAGCTTAACGGATGAAAAAAATCGCGAATTGTGGAAAAGGTTGACTCACATACAACGAACGTAACTTTCAGGTATTTTTCCACCGGAACAGACTTCCTCAACATTCTAGAATCTAAATGGCCTTTGGAGATGCAACTTATGCGCAGGCGCATTCGTGCAAACAACTTTTGGCCGATGATTCCTTGTTGCCAGTGGTGCA